TCAGGTAGTATTCGTAGCACTCCACATAATACCTGCAACATTCCGAGGGTATCGGTTGAACTCCATATAGCCTCTCTTGCATCACAAGGCATAATTTTCGCATTTCAGGTGAATTCTGTACCATCCTATGTAACACCTGTTGCAACATAGGTGACAACAGTAGGATCACAGGTGAAATCTCTAGCATTCATAGGGATACTTCAAGCATTCCAGATAATATGTGCCAGATTCGAGATCATACCTTTAGCATGACAGCTAACATCTGTACCATTCCTGGAAATATTTGCGGCGTTCCAGATAACAATTTTACTATCTCAGAAAGAGTCCCTGCAATCGAGGAAACCTTTAATGTTGACAGTTTAAAGTTCAACTTTGAAACTTGAAAATTGAAACTTGAGACCTCAACCGAGTTCAAGTTTAGAGCTTTACACTAGAAAATTTTATTATTTCGAATTACATATAATTTTATCTTTTGCTTTTTTTGCCATTTGAACATGGGTGCGATTTTTTTTATTTTCCATTTATATTCGAACTTGAATTAGGCAGCTACTGGTCCTGTTTCAATAATAAATTATAATTTATAATTTTTTTTCTGCTTTTCTGCCACAGTTATAGGAAAGTCCTATCTCATTTATAATTTGTAATTTATAATTACTTTTGGTGGGTTTGTGTCGCATTTATACGTAAGTCGTGTCTGGACTGTAATTAATAGTGAGAAGATTTTTTTTGTGCCTTGATTGAACGTGACATATTTTTGAAATTTTCATTTATATTATAACTCGTATTAGGCAGCTACTCCTTAATTGTGAAAGTGGACGGAAAGTGCAAATCACTGATATCTTAAGAATTTTCTTCGAGCTCAGACTTTTCATTGAATTTTCAAAAACAGAAAGTCTCTTATCTAACTGATAGAAAATGTCGAGACTTACATCTGAGTAAGCTTTAATAGCTTCATAGAATTTGCGTTTTTTAAAATAATCATTTCCAAGTGTCTTGTACTCAGCAGCTGTTAGGATTTTGTGAATTCTTGGTGTTCCAGTTTTCCAAGTGAGATCTTGTACCATTGAATTATTTGCATCAAAAAAGATTAAATCAGTTGGGTGATCACATCTTAAAGAAGTTCCTCCTTGAGCAGATATTTTATAGTACGGTTCTTTCAGTATCATAATACTGTCATTTGGAATTATATCTTTATGAGATCGATTAGGATTTTGATTGTATAATTCTAACACTTCAACATCACCGTTAGGATCTTCAACAACAGTTTTAATTTCCACAATCTTTTTTGGATGAACAATTGTTCTGAGAAGAAGATATTTTCCACGATGAACAGTTTCCAGTACTAAATCGGTTAATGATATTCGTTGTAGGTAGGAAAGGGGTTGTGTACATGGTGAATAAACAAAACTTGTAATCCTTTCATGAGCAACAAGTGGCTGACAATCATTTTCATATGAATATTGCCGATCATGTATTTGAATTAATTGAGATCGAGGTATTCGATGAGTTGGCTTTTTTCCTTGCATACTTTTGGATGTTTCCGAATTTATCATCGCTCGAATAAGGAATTCAGCAGTATTTTCCATTTTAGAGTGCAATGAGTCTAGAAAACAGGTCAGACAAAATTTTTAACAAGTACCATTTATGAAAAATATAAAAACTAGTAATATGACACTAGCAGCCTATGGTGAGATGCAGAGAGTGGGTTCTTGCATTTGCCTTGAAATGAGTTCAACTAAATCGGACGGAATATTCAGATGCCGATTCGAATCAGTAAAATATTTAAAGTCGATTCGGCGATCTTACACTTTTCCGAAATTCTAATTACTGAAAATCAGTTGTATTCATCAGTTTAAACTATTTTTTCGCATACAGTTCTGCTATACTTCATTTTGCATCAGCATAATCGAGAAATGAAAGGAACTTTTTTTCCACGTAGAAAAGAGTTTCAGAAAAACCTAGTTTAAGAATATTGTTGTTTATTCATTGCTTTAAACTAGATATTTTTTCACGTATTTTTTACCTGTTTCGAATGATTAAAACAATCGGCACTCTAAAGAATAGTCAGGTCTGAACTGATGTCAAAACTATGAAATCGATTCCAAACCATGTCATGAAAAAAGGAGGCGGAGTGAAGTATGTGCGTGCACTCGAAAGATCTATAAACCAAAAAAAGTCGTCAGAATTATTTGTCAGAGCTACAATGAGTTAAGAAATTTAACAACACGCGCAAATAGGACAGCTAGTCAGTTTCATTCGAAAATATACTGTCTTAGTAATAAGCCTCCTTTTTTCGTCCTTATAAGAAAGTTCCTCTAGGTTTTTCCTCTGTTCTCTTGCAATCGTGTTTAAAGTTTACCTAATATATTTTTTTATAACTTAGAAAAAGAGCTTATATGGTCACTGTACTTTCAATCACTATTCTAAGGTAAAATTAGCAAGAGTCCGCAGATACATTGGAGTTTGAATCTAATTTAGCATATCTCTTTCAACTGAACTTTCGTCTGGTCTCTGGCAGTCTACATTCTCAATTGGTTTAATTCCTTCTTTTCTTTTTGTCTTTGTCTTCTATTTTTCCCCAGTATTGATTCTGCGTGTTATTGTTCATAACTCTGACGCGATATAGTCATGTTGTCGTATTTGTTGCAGAGATGGTCATCTCCATGGTAACAGGGCATAGGGTCGCTACTGTCGATAGGAAATGCAATAGACAGTAGCGACCCTATGCCCTGTTACCATGGAGATGACCATCTCTGATTTGTTGTGAAACTTGTTACTTAACGCAAAGAATATTCTTTTGCGTTCTACCGCAACTCATTTTTCCGATGCCTTTCAACCTTATGAATTTTTAAATTGAATTTAGATAAATGGATACGAATCTCTTGAAAGTACAGAAAGACAAACTTTTTGTTGATAAGCGAGAAGAAATGCAAAGAAGAATCGCAAAAGTTTCTCTGAGGTGTTCGCCATCACTGTTTTTTTTTCAGTTAGAACTTGGAATATTCCGATCTTTTTTCTTTCTGTTCTTCAGGACATGAGCTTTTTATAGAACTATAATAAATGTGTGCTGTTCTTACCATCAAGAAGAATTGAGCTTTGTGCAAGAATGACGAACTACTGCAAGTCAAAATCTTTCACTGATTTTAGCACCATCTGTTTCTTAATCAATTTGCTTTCCATCATCTGAATATAAAAATAATATTTGCAAGATAAGTGAAACTGTCAGTGTCGCATCACAGACAAGAATACGTGAAAATAATTTTAGACTTATCTAGCAAAATTACTGTTTCTGCTATTGATTAAATCTTACCATAAATTCTAACCCTTTTCGTGTTGTTAATTTTCTACGAATTGATACGGCTCCTTGTGCAAAAGAGCGGATTGAGGTTAAGATCTGGGGTGGGGTTTGAGTGTGAGTGGGGTGTGGGTATGGGTATGGGTGTGGATTCAAGATGCAGTCTCACATTCACACTCACCATACCCACACCCACATGATCGATGTGAGGCTATCACAACGAAAAGCTAGTACGACGAATTTAGGTGAGGTTGAAATTCTTAGCCGAAAGTCTCTGGAGGGTAAGGTCTGCCTGTTGATGCTGGTGAATATGTACCCAAACGCCCCCCCCCCCCCCCCCCCCCCCCCCCCCCCCCCCCCACGTAGATCCCGCCATCTCATGTCTTCTTATTAAGAGTTGGAACCTCACCTAAATCCATTATGGTAGCTTCACATCGATACCCACACCCACACTCATACCCTAATCATGTTTCAGAAGAATCGACTTTTAGAAGAAACTCGACGCACATGGATTACGAAGCAACAAATAATCAGATTAAGTAATATAAGAAGAAAAACAACAGCTTTCATTGGAGTATCAAATGACAAAGCAAAAATGAAAGCGATCGTGGATTATCAAGATACATCAGCGCTTTCGATCGGAGAATGAAGACAAAGTGCGCACAATAATCTTTACCATTTGCTATTGCCCTAGTTCTTCACTATTGCACAAAAGCTGAAAAAGAAATATAAAGACAAATATCAACCAACTTAAGCCTTTCGTACACACTAATTTTCATCAGCTGCGTAACACCATTACTGTCTTATGTTTTCATAAGTGCATCATCATGTGACGACTTACTGTGCACCAGGTATTACAGTTGTCACTTTGCATTATAGTATTCGTATTCGACTATTGTATGGACAACTAGACTTTGACATGGAGCTACTATCAAGGTTTGCTCGATCATTTCTAGGAAGCAGCATGTTACCATTTTCAAGTGAAAATGTATTACAGAGCCCTTAAAAGGAAGTTACTCGTGATACTGCAATATCAATATACTATTGTTGCGTGTATTTAAATCTTTTTTTTCGAAGACATAGCTAGAATAGAATAATCATAACACTATCGAAGTTAGCATTCGACTCGGGCTTTTGCTTTTATAAATAACAAATACAGTACATACCACCCAAGTTTCTGATTCTTAGTGTTTTGGCACACATTTTTTATCACTTGTCACAGAGAAAATACCTCAAAACGTTTTCGGCAAAATCACCCTGTTTAGATGAATTTTCTGATGTTATAGTCGCCGCTATATTCAGCATAGGAGGAAAAAAGTATCGAGTCGCACAGAAGAAGATAATGCAAACATAATCAAGTGCTCAAATCTGCTGTTCCGTGCGTGCATTGAGTTGCGCCAGAAAAAGAACAGACAGTGTTTATACTACATTGTCACAACGCAATGATCATCGTTTTTAATAGATTCATAGAAAAACAAATCCCAGAACCGGAAATCACAAAAAAAAGTATTCCTATTCAATCTAATGAAAATGATGCCTGTAGCCAATATTTTGATAGTCTTGGCTTTTTCAATATTTATTCTCATCGAAACTGGTTGGTTCATTTCTATTGTACTCGGTCTGTCCCCGTTTTATTCACACATATCATATTTTTGTAGTTTTATGTGATGGCCTTTTCTACATGCAACGAATTCCATCGTCTTGTATGGAAACTACCTTGAATTTCAGCACATATGGCAATGTTTCAAATAATTGCTTAACCTTTGATTGGAGTCAAATTTCGAATTTGACTGCAACTTATACCACTTACATTGATTCTAATACAAATCAAACATATTTTGCACAGATCGGTGCATTAACTGTTTTGGGCAATATCGATAATTATAGATTGAATTATGAATGTCCACCAGTTGGATACAATGGTGTTGGTCCCGGTTGTCAAACTCAACCAAATACTCAACTGGTTGTATTACATGTTAATGCTTTAGATCGTAAACTATATGCCATAGATATTATTCTGTCTGGTACTCCTTTTCCTGAACCAGGAACTTTGAAGGATAATCAACCACCTTTTGGTAAAGCTCGTCATCAGTTCACTACAGGAATACTACTACAATCTAATGGTTATTTTAAAGTCTGCAAAGATAAGAATAGTAATCAATGTCCAAATAAGAATCTTGATGCTCACAAATTACCTAATCCATTACCAAGTAATTATGGATATGGTATCTTTGGTATTCAAGCATTCGACCTTGTTACTAATTCGACATGGATAATGGATGATTCGAATCAATTACTTATTGTTACAGCAGGTACTAATTATTATTATTTCAATGCAACTGGATTCTTCTTCTATGATTCGACTGAAAAAACATGTACATGGTCAAACTCTTGTAATTATGTGTGCGAAGTGTATAATTACAATTCTCGATTCTTAGATTTTGGTGGTGAATGGATAATCACAAAGAAATGGGGCATTCAAAACATGCAGCCACGAACCGTAGAAACTTGGATTGGACATGCTATTGATGCTGCTGGCATCTTTCCCATTATCATGTATACTGATAAGAAAACTGGTCATTACTTAGGATTAGACAAACTTGATCCAGAGCCAATGCAGAAAATGGGCGCCACATATTGGTATACTGATCATGGTGACACAATGGCAAGAACTAGCATTGAATCCTTTCATCCGACTGTTGTAGAAGCTGAATGTATTAAAGCTATAACTGAATGGATGGGTGATAAGACGAACGCTGGTATTGGTTTACGATTTGACTATGTCCGAATCATGGTCGCCATTATTGCTTTTAAATATCTTTCAAATATGGCTGAAATGCTTTTATAAATATTTAAAATCATACCGATGAGAAATAAGATTTTTGAATACTTTTTCTTATTCATTATCATATACTTTAAAAATGACTTCTTTTAACACTTTACTAATCCTCAAACAGTATTCACAAAAGAAAAGATTCTGAACTCTTCAACTTGTGATATAAATAGATAGAGTCTGAGGTTGCATTCTATCAGGACTGCTGAAAGATCATGGAAAAATTATTTTCAAATGTCTGTGACAGTCTACAAGTGGGATTAATATAATGAAACATGCGAGACAAGCATAGATTATTATGTCTACGAAATTTCAAACCAAAACAATGCTTGAAAATCCATAAGTTCGAGGCCCACATATGAATAATATTATGGTTCAAGAATCACAAAATTAATTGCCCTGAAAACTGTTGTGACGTGTTGTCTTATCTGATACGGTCTGTGAGAGTAGTGGCGTAGCCATAAAAATCTCGTAAGGGGGAGGGGGAGGGAAGAGCTCAGCTCCCGACTTGTTTGTAGTTAAATATAAGTAACTTAAGTACTCGAACAACGCAATGAAAACAATAAAGAAGTCGAAATGTTCAATATTTTATTAGAAATAAAAGAAAACACCAAAACGTACCTAATTAACGAAGTATAATTCTTCTATTTTTATAAATAATTGAAAGTTGATCAATAACTTGTTCTAAATCCACTGAAAAATCACGCTCAATGGATAACATAAAAATATCACTTAAACGTTTGTCTGCAATAGTATTTCTTGTATGTGTTTTGACTAGACTCATTTTTGAAAATACACACCCACCCGACGACCATGGCACTGGGATAGTAAGTGCAGCATTTATTATTAACACGATATTAGAAAATGGTTTTTCTAATGGCTTTATTTCATGCTATAATTCAGTTATATTTGATAATTTTCTGCTTCTGTGTGCTCAAAAGGTGAGTACACTATAGAATCCGTCAGTGTGTCCGTCCGGTCGCCCTTATACATGATAACTCTTGAGAATATGAAGCGATTGTTATGAAACTTTTGTGACAGAATCGTCTCATCGATATCTCGGTCGAGTTCGAACATGAGAATGATTCGTCAAGAAATTATTGAGTTATCGCAAAAAATGTCATTATTTTTTGTGTCTTTCTATGCGAGCAGGATGTGGGTGTGGGTGGGTATGGGTTTGAGTGTAGGTGTGGGTGTGGGTGTGGGTGTCAGCTTCTCTTATAGCCACACCCCTATCCAAATCCACACCCACACCCATTTTTATTTTCTT